TGGCCTGTGTGTAACTTAGATTTTGTTTACAGCTTTCCTGCTCCATATATTAGAACTGGAAGCACACGTTGATCAAAGACCTTCCTCTTCAAGCACACGGGAATATCTGATTTGAGGACATCCGTCAATTTTCTGTAGGCTGTCCATGTCAATCCTATACTCCTGTTCAACTCTGTGGTCTGGTTGTCTCTTCCTAATTTATTCTCGTCGCCTAAATATTTATAGAAATCAACTTGTTCGATTTGCATGTCATATGTTGAAATGCTTTTGGCCAGTACAAAGTTGGTCATGAGTTGTGTTCTAGAGAAATCAATTTTAAGGCCAATTCGTGCACCAGAACCTTGAATTTCTTGGAGAAGCTGAAATGTGTGATCTACCCTGTCTGCAATAAGGACAATGTCGTCTGCAAACCTCAAATTGTTTAGATACACTTCATGGCGCTTTGTAACAGAGCAGTGAATATTTTAGGAGAGATGATGTCTAATTTGTCTAATACTTTCCTCCAAGAGGAACATGTTGGTGTCGCCATGATACATGATGACTGCAGCAACTACAAATATATTCTGCAGAAGGGGCTGCATAACTCATATTCATATACATACGAACATTGAAATTATATACCTAGCAAAACATTTGTTAACAACAGTTTCTTAATATTGTTGTAGTTATTCTCCTAGATTCACTTTTGTATGTCTTTCTGTTCTATAGTCACCTAATCTAAAACTTAAGGCGCAATTTTCTAGTCATCAACTACTTATAATAAAAATACAACACTTGAATAAATGAAACAATTAAATCAAATAGAGATATTACGTATTTTATAATAATAATGATAATTAAGTATGTTGGATATCAGAAGCCAAAACATCTTGGTTTAAATAAAATTAGGAGCAAGAAGCAAACTGATGCAATATTCTGAAAAATGGAAGCTTTAGGAAAGGTAAACAGCTTGCGAACATGGAAAATCAATTTTTATCAAAAAAATCCAGAAATCTTGGAAATCTATACATACGCAATTAGTAACAGCTAGAAAATAGTAGAGATTCATTAAGAGGGGCGTCAGATAAGAGCCAGCGCGCCATCTTTTGGGCTTTATGACATACACTAAATATTTTTTTAACACAGGTGTGCAAATTCTCTGTAAGTTAAGGGACAGACTTGCCACAGGGCTAAGAAATGAAAAAATTTAATAAGAAATTTTATTGAAAAATAGAAGTTTTTCCGAAGCGCTTAAAGTTGCCAAAAGTTTGGAATTGGTGGAAAAGGAAGCAAAAGAGATGCAGTTGCAGTCAAGGGAATGCATTTATACAAAACAGAATCAAGAAAAAAATATTACGATACAAGATCATTCATCTCAAAGAAAAAGGTGTTAAGGAGTGAACCAAGTGGTAACCGAGATAAAACAAAGGAATTTAGGGAATGTTGTCAATGTTGTGGAAATGAACATCTTGGAAAGTGTAAATATACTGATTATTCATGCAAAAGATGTGGAAAAAAAGGACATTTGATGAAGGCTTGTAAAATACAAGGAAAATTGATACGTTATGCACAAGACACGGAGAAAGAAAATGAGGAAGATGATTTGAATTATGGAGTAAGTGACGAACAAATGTTTTATGCATCTGAGCAAATTTTCAATGTAATTCATTTACGGTTAAAGTTCAAATTGATCTAATGGACTTTGAAATGGAAATTGATACCGGTACTTCCATATCTTTAGTTAGTGATGCTCATTATAAAAGGTATTTTTACCATTTTCAATTGTATGAATCTAAAACAAAATTGTATACATTTGCTGGAAGCAAAATCTTGGTGTTAGGAAAAATATATGTTCCAGTATGTTTTAGAGATCAAAAGAAAGAATTATCTTTATCGGTTGTCAAAGTTGATTCAGTTAGATCTTGTCCAATGTTATTAGGGCGAAATTGGATTATTTTTGTGAATAAATTGACATTCAATAAGAAAATTGAAACAGCTGATTTTGTAAAGTGAATTTAAAAAAAAGTATCCTGTTTTTTCTCAAGTAAATGGTAAATATAAGGGAGCTAGAGTTGATATTGCTTTAGAAGTAAGTCATTCCAAATGGGCATTTCTAATAGTAGTAGTTGAAAAGGATACAGGGGAGCACAAAAAGGTAAGAATCTGTGGGTATTACAAAGTTTCTATAAACCCTGTATCTTGAACAGAACATTATCCTTTGCCAAATCCAAGTGATATTTTAGCTTCAGTAAGGAAAGGTAAGGTTTTTACCTTAATTGATTTGCAAAATGGTTATCAACAACTAGAACTATCAGAAAAAGCGCAAGAACTGGTTACTATAAATACCATACAAGGATTGTATAGATTTAAAATGATGCCTTTTGGTATTACTAGTGCTCCAGCTATTTTTCAAGCGACAATGGACAGGGCATTATTTGGATTAAATAATGTATGTTGTTATATTGATGACATACTGATCTGGGATGAAGAATTAGATTTATGTAAAAAGAAGGTAGAAATTGTTCTGAAAAAATTATGTGATCATGCAGGGTTGAAAATATGCTTTGAAAAATATTCATTTTTCCAATCAAGTGTGAATTATTTTGGATTCACTATTGACAGTGAAGGTATAAGACCTACTGAGAAGGGCATTTTAGCTATAAGGATGGCCCCAAAACCGCATAATGTAACTACATTAAGGGCATTTCTTGGGTTGATAAATTTTTATGGTAGATTTATACCAAATATGTCATCTCTTCTCAAACCATTGCACGAGTTGCTACAAAAGAATCAAAATTGGATTTGGACAGAGGAATGTAATGAGTGTTTTATGAAATGTAAATCCTTATTAAATGTTAATCCTTATATTTTTACATATTATGATCCAAGTAAACCGATAATTCTCACATGTGACGCATCTCAATATGAGCTGGGTGCTGTATTAGGTCATGACATTGACAGAGTTCAAAAACCAATTTGTTTTGCTTCACGCACTTTAAATAAAGCAGAAAAGGGGTATTCTCAGTTGGAAAAAGAAGCTTTAAGTATACTTTTGGGATTAAGCATTTTCATTTATATCTTTATGGTAGAAAATTTCTAATCAGCTCTGACCATAGGCCTCTAGAAACTATTCTTAATCCTAAAAAAGGAATACCAACTCTAGCTGCTGCTCGAATTCAAAGATGGGCACTACTTTTATCATCTTATACATATGACATTAAATATGTTAAAGGATTAGATATTGCCCATGCAGATGCTTTATCAAGGCTACCTTTAGAAATTTCAGAAGAAGAAAGTGCGGCTGACATCAATTATTTTTCATGTGTAGAGGAAAAGCCCTTGTGTGCTATTGATATTGCTAAACATACACATGAGGATGTAATTTTGTCTTAAATTAAAGAATTTGTCTTGAATGGTTGGCCAAATTATAATAACAATAAGCTTTTTAGTCCCTTCTGGGTTAGAAGGTTTGTGAATTGTCCATTGATAAAGATTGTCTTTATGGGGTAGACGAGTAATAATACCTGAATCTCTTCAAACAAAAATTTTAAACATATTACATGAGCAGCATTCAGGTATGGTACGTTCCAAAATATTAGCAAGAAGTGGTGGTGGCCTTGCTTGGATAATGATTTGGAAAAAATAATTGTGAAAAATTGTATAATTTGTCAAAAGTCTGGTAATACTAAGACGCACGTTTAACAATGCTGAAGCAAGATCTTAAATTGACAGATATTGAATTTAAATATGTGATAAGTTTTAATAAGGGTGACATTGTGTATGTGAAGACAAAGAGGGGGGAAGATAAGAAGTGGATTGAAGGTACTATTTTAGAGAATGTTAGCAATTACACCTATTTAGTAGAGTCAAATGGTAAAAATACTTTGCTGCATGTTGATGATCCAAAGGATAATTACCCTCATAAGAAAACTAGAGAAAACTCTATCAAAAATTCTTTGAATGAAGAACCGTGTCCACTTAATGAAAACAAGCTAGGGCATGAGGAACCCAAAGTTGTGACTGAATTTAATAAAATTCAAAGGTCTAGCATAACTGAGTCTGATGCTATTGGCGATTGTACCGAAGACATTTCAGAGACGTCTAAAGTAATTCAACCAAGTATTTCAGCACAAACTGACACAGAAACGCCTGTTTTACGTCGTTCCAGTCGCCATGTGAGACCTCCTGTTGAATTAGATTTATAAGTTGTTTCAATGTTTTTATATTAACAAACATTATGTAGTATGTATTTTGTCTTAGGTTTAAGTTTTGATTGTTATAGTGTAGTTAACAGATTAGTAGGGAGGAGTGTAGTGTATTTGTATGAACATATCCATGATAGATTGGATTTTAGATGTTTGAAAAGGTGGAGGAATCTTTTGTCAAGTAGATGACAAATAACTATTTTCAGTTTTGATTTGAGCTAGAGAATAGAAACTTCAAAGCATTTCGTATTGCCTATTTGTACCAGAACCTCAATTAAAAACATAAAATTAAATTTCCCTGAATATGATCTAGAAATTTGCATTCTGTAAAACTTTGCCTTCTACCGCAAATCCAACTTAATAGGACCTGATGGTGTACAATTAAGATAACACGGAGACATGTTTGAAATAAATACAATACAGTCTAGTAGGTAGGTATGTTTTCACTTGCCGTTAACAGTGATATACGTAAACTTTCCATCAAGTCACAGTTACAGGTGCAAACTCAGAGTGACAAACCATCGCAGGTAATCGCATATTTATAAATTCAACGTACAAAGCTATTAAACGACCGGTACACAATGGGCCTATTATTATTTATAAAGGCAATACGTAGCGCAAATTAAAAATTAAAAAGCAAACACATAAACGGATGTATAATGAGTGCTAAAAGCCACGTATTAATGAACAAGGAGCGAATTAAGAATCGATGATGAGATTTTAAAGTTTGGACTGAGACAATATTATTTTTAATGAGACTTATCGGATATTGTTACCAAATACGGATATAATTTAAAATATTTTTTTTCCTTGCAGATTACACAACTCAAAATCGACAATAACCCATTTGCCAAAGGCTTCAGAGATACGGGAGCTGGAAAACGTGAAAAGAAGTAAGTATCTAAGTACGTTTAGAATTAAATTTTGTCTAGAGGGCAATCTAATTATGCAAAAACTGATACAGCGGTTGGTAAATTAACCCATAAAAAACACACCCTTCTGGTGTTTGATAAAATTGCGCGTCCCTTCGGCACCGATGGCGGATTAGACAGACAGAAGGGCACTAATGCGTTAAAAGCCTAACCTTAAAATTACAAGGCACTTTTTTGACCCCCCGGTAATAGAGACAATGAGATGGCTTAATGCTGTTTAAATATATCTACTGGGACTCCCTCTATATATACCTTCAAACTCAGGGTGCGTAAATTGAAATTTTGTATTACGGATACAGAGGGTAGATAACATTTTCGTATATGAAAATTAAATGTTTTCAATTACTTAGACAAATGAGGAAAATCATATGTATGGTGACACTAATATTTAGTAGTATGACTGATGGAGAGCCTCGTGTTTTATTTTTCACTTCCTTTCTTATTTCATAAGACCCACCAAAGAAACTATTTTCAAGTTAAGTTCCCCCAACAACCAAAAAAAAGACATTCAAAATCCTAATGTAAAATCGATAGACTTGAGCTCTATATACATACGACGGCATCGACCCCAAAATGTGCAGCAAATTTAAGCACCTATTCTTTATTTTCAATTTAAGACGTTGTAATCACGTTATCAGTCGACCTAGGGCGGAGGGCCAAACGTAGTTAGGGCCAAATGTCGAATGACAGGTTTATACCCCTCTTTTTAGGCGATTGATTGCTGCACTTTGTTCTTTAGGTCGTTCGGGTTCGGAAAGGATGTCTGGATCTGGGAACAAGCAAACAAGAGTCAGGGTACGGGGAAAAAACGTATCACATTTAATACGATCCAAGAAAAACTGTTAGACATTTGAAAAATCTGTTTTTAAATGAATAACTCAATTAGGTATTTCTCTTTTCAATTTGTCGCTTAATTCGTGATATTTGCTTGAAAAGATGTGTTTTGTGTTCTTGTAGAAATGCATAATTTGGGAATATCTGATGGTTCGGTTTTCTGTGAAGAATATTATTACTGTTCGTATTACTCAGAGACTCAGGTTGTGAAGAGGATTTTATGACTGAGCTTCGCGTTTGCTTGAGCTGTTCCTCATTTCCATGAGATCATGTCATTCTTGGATTTTCTACTCTTATGTTTTGATTTGTTGTATACTTACTGTATGCGCTCCATTTCTTGTTTGTTATTTATGTGTTACTTTAAGGCTTCTACGCCATTTTAGAAACTGCATTTATATTGAACTTTCTCACATCTTTCCTGACTCCACTAGCGGATTTACCCAGTGAGTTCAGTAAGCTGTATGTCCGACCTTGTACACCAGGAGCTCTACGGGAGGAATTTTTACAATCATTCTTAGTTTGATTTTTTGATAGTTTGAAGCATTCAGGTACATCACAGTTTCTTGAGAAGCTTGACTGGTGTTTGAACTCCATCAAATTCAAATTGGGAATAGTTTTATGAGAGGATATTTCTACGAGAATTTGGATTTTGGGTCCCAAATTAGGTTCTACAGCAGTAAGTTCAGTGAGTTCAAAAACATTATTGTGTGCCCAAGTGTCTCAAAATAACCAAACGTGGAATATAGTGTTCGTCGATTTTTATCTGACACTTGCGGTATGAGGAGTGAGGGGGTGAAGTATATGGCAAAAACAAGTGTGACGTCAGGTGACCATTGGCGTTCTAATGTAGGGTGCCACCAGCTCACATTCCTTCCGAGTATCAGATTAAAATCGACGGACTACGAGAAAAATCACTTTTTTGTGATTTTGAATCTTATAGGATTGATTGATTTGATAGGGGACCCCTTATAGGCAGCACATATGGTCCATTGTGCTATCACTCTCTTGGTGCAGCCCAGGTTTTACCTTAGGAGCCTGCAACTTTTAAGAAAGTTGCAGACCCACTCAGTCCGGACAGATAATATCATCCAAATATTTTAAAATGTACGGTTCCAGTTCTGCATCAAAAAGATTATCTAGTAAACCTTGGAGAGTTGCAGGAGCCTTATGAAGACCAAATGGCATCCTAACGAACTGAAAAAGACGTCTGGACGGCACAGTGAAAACTGTATATTGACGAGACGAAATTTCAAATTCAATCTGCCAATAAGCACTTTGAATATCCAACGAAGACAAATATTTGGCACCTCCCAGTTTACCTTATATATCAGAAATGTATGGTAATTGTCACCTTGAAAAGACGATAACTCGAAAATAGCTCGAACGATTTTTTTGTGGCAATGGTGAAATTTGATCAGGAGGTCATGAACTATATCATACTAAAATTTCATTGAATTTGACCGGAACCACTTTTCCATAAGTTTAGTGCGGGGTCTTTTAGAACAATGTGCAAGAATAATAGACAAGAAAGAAGGTAAAAGGAATCAATTCAAGAAACATTAAAGAAAGAGATTTACAAATCAAAAACTTGGAAGAAATAAGGGAATCTACACAGTTTGATTTTTACACCATCTTTCTACCATGTTGAGAGCTCTTTGCATGATCTCCTTAATGATACTGGGTACCCTACCAGTCACAACAATAACAAGATCGTCTGAGTAGCCTTGATTGTACATACCTTCCTTGTTCCGAGTGTGGAGCAGCCCATCCAGTACCAGGCACCACATCAGAGGCAACAGTACACCCCCCGCAGGGGGGTGTACTGTGCTGTAGGACTTGTAGCGTGCCCGAACTACTCGGTACCAATTCGAAATCATATCTCGTAGAAAAGTGCGTTGAACATTTTTTTTTTCAGAATTTAGATTCTGATTTGGAGCCCAGACTTCCGGGCATGCCACACGTTCTATAGACTGAAAGGCCTTCTGTGCTCAAAGGGCACAGCTTTAATATGCATCAAAATCTCTTGAAAATGGGTTTTTATTCTTGACATTTCAGGTCATAAGTTAGTGAAAAGCATTTTGGACAGTCCACAGATAAAAGATTTCAGAGCAGGCAACTTATGCACTAGTAAGACATCTCAACAAACTGTAGTGTGCTCGATGCGCTTGAATCCCATCAAATTCGAATTAGGAATAGTTTCATGAGAGAATATGGATTTTAGATCCCAAATTAGGTTCTAGGGCAGTAAGTTCAGTGAGCTAAAAAAAAATGCAAGTATCTCAAAATAACCGAAAATTGAATATGGTTCTACGAGACTTTAAAAAATCACTTTTTTTGTGATTTTGAATCTTATAGGATTGATTGATTTTAAAGGGGACCCCTTATAGGCAGCACGTAGATGCGTATGTGATCCATTGTGCCATCCCCCTTTTGGTGCAGTCCAGGTTTTTCCTTAGGAGCCTGCTACTTTTAAGAAAGTTGCAGACCCACTTAGTCTGAACTAATGATAATATCATCCAAATATTTCAAAATGTACGGTTCCAGTTTTGCATCAAAAAGATTATCTAGTAAACCTTGGAAAGTTGCAGGAGCATTATGAAGACCAAATGGCATCCTGATGAACTGAAAAAGAACTCTGAACGGCACAGTGAAAACTGTATATTGACGAGAAGAAAGTTCAAGTTCAATGTGCCAATAAGCACTTTAAATATCCAACGAAGACAAATATTTAGCATCTCCCAGTTTACCTTATATATCAGAAATGTATGGTAATGGGTACGCATCACGTTCACTAACTAGCCGTGTTAGTGTTATTGGCAGATTGAACTTGAACTTTCTTCTCGTCAATATACAGTTTTCAATGTACCGTCCAGGAATCTTTTTCAGTTCATCAGGATGCCATTTGGTCTTCATAATGCTCCTGCAACTTTCCAAGGTTTACTAGATAATCTTGCGAAAATCCACACAAAATCTCCAAGTTTTATCTTTTTTTAGGTAGGTACTACCAATTCTGGTGAAGAACGAGTACTTGTCCCAATAAAAAATATAACTTAATTATGAAAATCCATAGTCTATAATTTTACCTTGATCCTCAACCTAGCACCTTTGAAAAGGTTATAACTCGAAAACGATTTACAAATCAACAAAGAAGACAAAAACTTGGAAGAAATAAGGGAATCTACAGAGTTTGGAGAAACAAATAATGCAGAGATTTGCAATAAGATAGGAAGAAATGACAAAGAATCAAAAAGAAGACAATATCTAATAATATAAATAAAACCGAAGAAGAAACAGTACCTAATTGATAGGAGTAAGAGTATTTTGCGAATCATAGGGACAAAGTTTAATGAAATTGATGAAGAATCTAAAAGACTAAACAAATTAATTGATGATGAAAATATAAACATTTCAAATTGCAAAAAGTATACAGAAATAAATAATAAAGATAAAATAATAGAAAAAAAAACATGACAAACATAACAGTGATGATGAGCAAAGGCAGACTAAAGAAATCCATGAAAATTTGAACAAGTACCTCTCAGAAATTGAACAATTTTTCCTCGAAAAGTTCTCTTGAAGAATCAGAACTGCCCTTTGAATACACTTTCCTTTAGGCTCTTTATGCTTACACATGGATTGTTGTAGGACCTCTAGCATGCATAAAAAGCACCCAAACTAATCCAAAATCTCAAAAGTGATATTTTCTCATAAAACTTTCCTTAATTAGAATTTTAGGTATTTTCAACCCTTTGGACACAATACAATTCCCAATAATTTACCAATACCATCTAACTCAAAATCGATATTTTTCAAGGAGTTAAAATTCAATGCGAATATCCTTTAATACCCTATCTAATTTGAGTATTATACGTGAACTTGGCGCAACAAAAGGGCGATGGAGATCCCGGCAAATTATTCCCGGTTTTAATTGACCAACCACTGGGATAATTACACCCGGTAACCTTTTTCCGAGCACACAATGGATATGGGCCTTAAGCGCGATCGGACGTGGACGATCAACGCGTCTGACTCATAGCTTGTGTTTTAAGAATGAGGATGTCATCGATTTTCCTTGCCGATTTGGCTATTGTGGTGTATCTTCCCTTACGTTGCCCTTTCGAGTTAGGACCTTAAAGTATTACTTTGACCTTAAAACTTATAATGGAATATGTCATGTTGATATAAACTGACGACTGACTGAGGAAACGCAATAAATATATGCTATATATTTTTGATTTTGTTGCTTGAGAATCCTAAAATACCCATGAATTTCATATTATTGACTAAGCATAAAAAATATTACTTCACTTGAGTAATGTATATTATCCAAATTGAACAACAAATTTTATAAAAGTATTTCTAAAATTGTTACAGACAAGCGATGCTGGCGCAACGGCATACAGACGATAAAATTTCGCATCCTTTACCGGCACGCATGTCCGCGGACAGTAGTACTGTATCCAAAACGGACGATGGAGAACTGGACGTTGTTGGTACTGCAGATAGTCCAAGACCCAGTCTCAATACATCTACTGCAGCATCGAGCCACAATCACAGTGGTAAGTAATCATTTTTAATAATCAAACTTTACGTGTATAGATATTTAATTATTATCACACTATAAACATCAGCGACCAGCATTTGACTTTATAATTAACCATGATTTTAAAATTATTATTGTGCAACTCTAATAGATATTTAAATACTTTTTCAGGTGCCGAAGACGACTCAATTCGTCGCAGACTCCATGACGATAGTGGTTCGGAATCTTCTTGCAGTGAGTCTCCAGGAAGTACTGCTTTCCGACCTCGACCATCCTCCCCCAAAGATGCTGCAGGTCCATCGAATTCCAGCGGAGAATATCCTTCGCCCAATATAAGTGTCGGACCTCCCATTCATCCCCCGCCTCATTTACTGCCTTACTTTTATCCTCCCGGTATTTACCCTGGAGCAACTGGACATAACCCGTTTGGACCCTCTTTGAACCTATTCACTGGAGGTCACTCGCCTGCAGGAATGAACCCTAGCATACTTTTCAATGCTCAGCTTGCACTGGCCGCTCAACATCCAGCATTGTTTAGCCATTACCAAAACTTGGCGCATCCGAACCCTCACAATCACCATTTATCTCCTACGTCTCCTTTGCATAATCACCTTAAAGGAGGTCATAGGTTTACGCCTTATACATTACCTACAAGCACCTCAGGAGGAGTAAGTTCATCTCCACTTGGAAGCGCTTTCGAAACAGTAACGCCGAGTTCTCACACTAGAAGTTTGAGTAATTCTCCAAACAGCACCAAAATTCGTAGTTCTTCGCTATCACCGCCGGTAAGGGCGAGCACAGTTTCACCTAAACCCGAAACGGCCAATTCACCAAGTGATTTGAAAAGTATAGAAAAAATGGTGAACGGACTTGATGTGAAACACACTAGTGAACTTATCGGGGACAATGGTGATAAATAATAGTGATAGTGATTTTTGGTTGTTAGTTATTTGGTGATATTGTGTGATGCCGTACTTTTCAAGAAGGATTTTATTGTGAAATTTGGTTTCACAAAAAAATTCACGAATATTTTTACCGGGATTTGATTGCAATATTATCGCTCACAAAGAGAGGTTCACCTACGCAAAGATCCTAATGTTTCCAATGCTAAGGAATTATTAACTTTAAAATAATGTAAATTTGGAATCATATTGTTATAGGCTTTGACATGAGGAATTTTTCGTTTTAAATTATTTTCGAGTTCCTATAAAATGGAATATGAGGCTACTTTATAGTCGGAATGATGTTTAGCTCAGGTGAGTCATGCTCATTTATACACTGATTCAGTTTATTGATGTTTATTTCACATGTGCCAGACTCTCATTTTCAATTAGAAGTTTGGAAAATGCCTTAATTCAGCCCATTATCATCTCAATTGAACCAAAAAGTAATTCATTTTGAAACTTTACTTCAAATTATTTCAAATCATCTGCAGAAATGAATTTAATTCAGCTGAGCTAAATAAAATCTATTAAAAAATATTACACTTGTATTTTGCGATATAATTGGTAAGAAGAAACTAATGAGTTTTCATACAGACATCAGAAATATACAGGTATTATGTAATTTACATCTTTTATGATAAAACCAAATCCACCTACACCAGTTTTGGATAATAAGGTATGTTCAAAATGGATTTGAAAGCTCATTAATTTTGTTTTCTTTCTCTTATAGTTTCTCCCCTCTGGTATATCTTCACAAAATGTTTCACTCAGTTTAAACTATCTTTTTTTTTTAAGCTTTAATAGTTAGTTTCGTAGTGCAATAGTACATTTCTTTAAGCTATTTTAGTTGATTTTTGCCATAATAATAACTAAAAGAGTGAAACACTTTGTGGACAAAAAAATTTCTCTTTACCTACTTATAACCTCTAAGTGCTTTTCGTAATATAAAAAAAATTAAGCTTAACGCAAGAGTACAAACCTTTATAATGTGTAAAAAAAAATATAAATAAATATTTCACAATTAAAAAAATGTTCATTCATTATTTTGTTGGTGCTATTCATTCTCATTATTCATCGGCCTTGCTGTAACGCATAGTAGGTTTCCTATAGTTGTTGCAGTGAAAATCGAACCTACTATGCATAATATTTTGGCCGTTGTTTTTTAGTTATGTTATAACAAATTTAAAGTAGACAGACAGTGCTAACATAATATATCTGTGGAATTTAAATAGAAAAATGTTCCTTTTTTTTTTTAAATAATTTGTATATTTATTTTAGGATTAACTTGTAAATATTTGTTTCTTGTCTTTAAAACTCTTGTAATAAATGTATTATATTTGTATAATATTAATTCAAGAATGTTTTAAATTATTTCTGTTTTGCCAAAGAGCGATTTTCAATAATTTTTTCAAGAATTGAAAGATCTTTTAAGTGTTAAACACGATAATTGGGGAAATGGAAATTTTGTATAATTAATTTTTAGTTGTATATATTTTCGACATGGTACGACCGTGATGTGTATAAAATACGACTTTTGTTAACAATAATTATAAAAATCAGCCCAAAATGTGTGAGATAATTTTTCACATACATTATAATTTGTTTTTGATTTTTTTGTTTAAACACACACAATATAATATTACTAAAGAATATGATGATAATTTATTATAAAAAAAAAAGAAATGTATTGAAGTAGACGAAAGGAAATAAAAATGTGAATTGTCGCTGTGTATATGTCATTTAGTTTTAAGGAATAAAATAAAAAATTAATATTAAAATTGGTGTTTCATTTGATTCAATAATAAAGGACCCCGCACACTTCTTATGGAATTTGGTCAATTTTTCTGAAAATTTGATATGATGCTCCTCTCAACATTCTGATTAAAAGTGTTCATAGCCACAACTTGATCCTATGACTAGTTTTCGAGATACAGGTAGTTTGATGTCCAAGAAATGCACACATTTTGGCTATGGTCCGAATATAACCAAACGTTAACCAAAGTAACTGAATCGGTTGACAGATGGTTACTCAAAACTCCGGTTACTTGGGGAAGGCGAATATGAAATAAAAAATAATTGACAGAAACTACAGGTAAAACCAACATCCGATAATCCGATGTCCGGTAACTATTTTAACATTTAGCTAACCAGATTTCAGGAAACCGAGGTCCAAAAGTAACCAGTTTTTCAGGAACCAGAGTAATTTGATTACCTTCGGACCGCGTGACAACGACCCTGGTTATAATGCATTTTTATCTGTCATCTAATAGCATATTGTTCGTCGATTTTTAACTGATACTTGCGGTATGAGGAGCGAGGGGCTGTTTTATATGGCAAAAACAGGTGTGACGTTAGGTAACCATTGGCGTTCTAATGTAGGGAGCCACCAGCTCACATTCCGTCCGAGTATCAGATTAAAATCGACGGACAATACCAGGATTGACTGGTATCCGTACGCTCAGGCGACAGGTAGATGTAGATCCATATAAAATTTGTGCAAAATGTGTGCATTTCTTGAACAATAAACTAGCTATATCTCGAAAACTAGTCATAGGATCAAGTTGTGGCTATGTGTGAACACTTTTAATCAGAATGTTGAGAGGAGCATCACATCAAATTTTCAGGAAAACTGACCGAATCCCAAAATCTCATAAGAGATGTACTTTATTTCCATATTCTATCACATGTTCTGAGTTCTTAGTTCATAAAATAGCCATTCTTTATAGAGCACATGCAGTTGCCTCAGTAAACAACTAATTGACAAAATATGTCAAACGATTCTGACAGTTCGTCATATTGTTCCTCTGAGGAAAATCCTTATGTACATAAGGTCCGTTTCACCAGGGTTCATACTTAACCTTGAAACTTGAAAAAAAAGGGTTGTCGTAGATTGATTCATATGACACATGCAATTTTTTTGACAAATTAAAATGAATGACTTTTGGTTAAGAACCGACAAACGTTTTTGACGTCATTGATTTATTTCAGTCAATTTTTATTTGTTAAACAAGGAAGGTAAATGCTGGTGGCAAGTACAAACCCTGGCGAAACAGACTTTACTTAGAAAATACCCAAGATTGAATACCGCAGATGCTATCAAGAATTTTATTATAATATCTTCACAAGACGTCCGTGATGCTGGACCTTCAAGAGAAAATGAATTGGAAATTCATGACGATTTTCCTGATACCGTTTCTTCAATTTCGACAATTCTGAAATCATTCCAAATTTGAATAATGAATGTACAATTTGTAAGAAAAAATTTACTTCTATAAGAGGTCTTAAGTTATACGTCTCTAAAAACCATAGGTAGTGTTTTATCGAAGGTAGGTATCTCGTAATGTTCACCAAACCATAATTGATAAATCAGGGTCCTTATTCTGGAAACAGGGGAGAAGCGTTCCCAGGAAAACGAGTGTTCCGTCTTTCTCGATGATATGCAAATAATAATATAAGTAACAAAAACGGAACACTCGTTTTCCTGGGAACGCTGCTCCCCTGTTTCAAGAATAAAGGACCCTGAAGATTTAAACTAATATGCCGCTAAATATGACCTGTCTTAATCCCTTTAACGGGTCATTTCACGGAAATAATACGACCATACTTTCTTCGCACCCAGCAAATCACACGCTCAATCATTCCTGTTTCAGTTGTGGACAAGTATTCATAAAATCAAGTAATATAGGTAGTAAAACATCGAAATAGTAAGAAATGTATCAGACAAACGGCAACGCTTTGAAGATCTGGTCCCACTCAATCACAACGAACTTATTCTAATATTGAAGCTTTTCAAGCCAGGCCATATTCTATATCATCTCATGGTAATATACGAATTATGAAACGTATTCCGCGTAGTGTTCGTCCTCAAGTAACCAAAGCATTGGTAGTTATTCTGGAGAATTATGTCAAAACCAATAATGACGAGTCTTGACATAAACTTTTTTCTTTTCCTCGTTATGTATCTACTTAGTTTGCCGCACAATTAAGTGAGAAAGAAATCATTATCAGTTTTAGTGAAGAAGGGACTAGCCAGAAGTTCTGGCAATGGTGCGCATATTAGATCAAAACATTGTGCTTTTCGGTCGTCTGCAGAATCATATACTAATGCATTGAAACGCAGAGTCGGTGCCAAACTAGTCGATGGTGACATTACAGGTGCTATACGGGTTCTCTCTTCCCTCTCTATTGCACCTAACACTACTGTTACACTGTAGGCCAATTTCTCAATAGCGAGTCACCTCCGGGTTAGTTTTATTTCCAAGGTACAAGTGTCTAGTTGCTATGTTCACCCTGGAGTTATGCTTAACCCGGAGGTGACTCGCTATTGAGAAACCGACCCTGTAGAAGCTACGTGCAATACATCCTGCTGAACCAGATGGTGCTTCATTTCCGTTAGAAATGACAACAGTCGAGTTTCCTAATTCTGTCAATAATGACGAGATTCGTCGTTCAATTTATACATTCAAACATGGGGCCGTATTCATAAAACTGAAGGATATCCTTGTAAGTATAAGGTAGAAGTATAAGGTTTTGAGTTGAAAAAAAAGGTAGAAGTATAAGCATTTCCTTTTTTTCGTATTCATAATGATTACCTTATACTTGCAAGGATATCCTCCAAGAATAAGTAAAAGGTGGTTGGCATGTTGCCTTATGTGTGCTGTTTTCGATGGTTTTTCATTTACAGTATTTCTTTCTTATCGGGAGTTATTTGAGTATAGTACCTACTCTGATCAGAGTAGATGTATTCATCAAGCAGCGATAGTGGAAGTACAGAAAAAAATAGCTTCAGCCGAACTGCAGTTCATAGCAGATGAAATTGCCAATGCCCCCGTGATTTTGGAAAAATCCCAAACACCAAAAATAAAAGCTAGAAAGGATGAGGCTATTAGAAATATTACCAGGAAGTACGAGGACGAGGTGACATTTGGTAAAGCACTGGTTGCGAAAGGTCTTTTAAAGAAAATAAACAATATGAAAGGAAGATTGAAGAAAAAAACTGACCTGAAAAAAACTGGAAATAAAGCAATCAAACTGTTGGAATGGAAGAAAAAGTTATTGAAGGCTATGGAAGGCGACAGTAATCCTATACAATTGGAAGAATCGGAGGAGCGGGATTTCTGAATGGAGTCATGAGCCACGGCTCTATACCATATCCATCATCAGCAAGTAGCACGACGTTGTTTTTATTTATTAACTGAACCCTTATCTGTGAATTTCTCCATATTCTTGAATCGTGGACCAATCCAGGCCAACTAACGTCCATACCATAGTCCATACTAGTGAACATTTCGCTTGGCAGTCACTGTACGAGATACTGTAGCTTGACTTACACTCAGATCTTGACCAATGCCTTTCTGATACCCAGGGTCACTGAGATAATGTAAACATTCTGCATTTTTTAGACGGATGATAGCGCACCTCCTCGAGTTTCAGCATTAATTCCCAAAAATCTGTTGGCAAGCCAGTGCACATTTTCCTTTTCAAACCGGTTTAGTTCTTGGTAATCACGAACAGGTGTTGATAAACGTTGCTTGTAATGTTTAGTTTCTCTCAGTTCCACAACATCTGCCATCGCTACAACTGATCACTACACGCCTGAGTCTGCTACTGACCACACTCGAAATTATTGAAGGATATCCTTCTTATTTAGAGTAAAAGGTAAAGTTTATGAATAACCAAATACTTTTTGTGAAGGATATGCTCATACTCTATAAGTATACGGTTTTACTCGGAATATTATGAATGCGAGCTGAAGGATTTACTTCATATTCTGCAAGTATAAGCATAACCTTTTTTTTATGAATACGGCCCATCAACATATAATAGCCTTGACTTCGAATGGTAATAACAACTTTTCTGCGCACTTGTTATCCGCTATTGGTGCTGTAGTCGATTTAATGATCCGAGGGAAAGTTTGTGACAGTATTTGTAGCCTACTTTACGGAGCTTCAATATGCGCTCTCATGAAAAAAAAAAGGGGGAATTAAGCCAATAGCTATCGGAAATACTATAAGAAGAATTGCTGAAGTTGCCAGAAATCGTGTTCAATGTTCAGTTGGATTTAAACTTCACCCCTTTCAGTTGGGCTATGGCAGCAAAGGTAACGTAGATTGTCATGTTTTTCGGAAACTAGATTTTCGGAACGCTATTAACTGTGTCAGCAGACCTCTACTCCTGAAAATGGTACAGGAATTTATTCCTGAGTATTATCGTATTATCATTTTTTCTGGCAACAATATCGTTACCCTTCTCAATTAATATACCTTGAACACACCATCAATTCTGCTTTAGGACTCCAACAAGGTGATCCAGTTGCACCCCTAGGATTTTGCATTACTAAAGCACCCTTAATGCAACGATTAAATTCTGCTCTGGTTTTATGGTATTTTAACGATGCTGTATTGGGTGGAGCTCCACTCACCGTTCTTCAACTGGGGAAAATGTGAAGCTTTTATATATGGTGGTTCTGGTTCTGGAATTGTCAAATCGAAGAAGAATTGAAAGGTTTTTCAACAGATATAAAATGTATGACAAAGGAAAATTTGTTACTGCTAGGTAGTCCTTGGACTGATGAAGCTGCACCTAGCATTATCGCAAAGAAAATTGATGATCTAGCTCTCATGATTGCTTGTGTGAACACTATTCGTTCTCAACAAGCCTTATTTCTACTTCGTCATTGTTATAACATTCCAAAGTTAATTTATATACTTCGCACTTATCCATCCTTTCGCTAAATAGATTCACTACGAGCTTTCGATGATTGAACGCTGCTGAAACGATTACTAACATAGAAATGGACTTGGAAACTTA